TTCAAGCCGCGCACGTTTATGGTCCACTGTATTACAATGGTCAACACAATTATCAGTAGTGCAGGCGTAACAGGCTTGTCATATCTCCAACGCAACAAAAACAAGCGCACAACAGCACAAAACATTAAAAACAAAAAACAAATTGGCAAAACAAACGAGTCTTCAAAACTGACGACGTCTGGCGACTGGCGAATTGCCATAACAACAGGACTGAAAGACAACGCAGGCAGTTTTAGTCCGTCGTCAATGGTATGCAAACAGTTCGACCCATCGGGCGCATTGTGCTTACTGCATGCGACGGCTTTGCGTTTCAAAGTGAGTTAAGCAAATCAATCATGTTAAAAACAGGTGTGCATTGCCGACTTTTATATGTGCCGTGCTTAAGTACCAATTATGACAGCTAATTATGAGCTCTTGTCTCACTATTGGTTGAAACTTTTGACTAAAGTTGGAGGCGAAAAAGCTGAAAATCCAGAGAGATTGGTGGAGGGTAGGATTCGTCACGTTTTACATCCGGAGTAAAATCAATAGCATATTTGTGGACTGGAGCGTTCCAAAAATTACATCATAAGAAAGCATTCGCTGATTTAAAAAAAATAGTGTCATGCAGACCCCACGGTCGCAACCTTAGTCTGAATGCCTTGACTAGAGAGCATACAAAACGGGCCTACAGGGCAAATGGAGTTAAAGCTTCTGATCCCTTCAGTGAGCAATTTTCGGAGAACAGAAACACTTCTCCCCCATATCGAGACATGCTACGCAGCCCGCGGCGCGCGATGGATTCCGCGCGTGCCAACTGCGACGTTTGCAAATGATGTACGTCCCAGGCCTACTGCGTCGACCACGAGTCCTCGAAGTCCCGCTGCAGCTGGTCCATCCAGACCGAGTGGTTCACCTCCCATTCGTCCGTGTCCAGGCCTCGGCCAGATGAGTTGATGGTGGTGACGACGTAGCCGATGCCAGCCACAACCGCGACCACAGCAACGACGGCGACCACCACTCCGATGATGGGGCCTGGTAACATCGACAGCGGCGTTACCGACGCAGCCATCTGTTATTGGAACAGGCCTGCAAAACCAGCTGCCTCTTCACCCGCATTCAGAGCCGGTCACGGCTCGTGCATGGTTCAGAAATCTTAGCACCAACGAGGCCTCAGATCGGCACAATCACTGCCAAATCAACTTGTCATCGGCGTAGCGGTGCGTCACGCAGCCAGAGCTATTCTCCCTAGATAGTATTTCCAATGTCACTTTCAAAGGTGCGGAGCACGCAATACAGCTCTCCGTGTCACTCATGATGGTATTTAAATAAACGCCAGAGGTCTCTCACCGGCGGCTCCAAGTCCACCAAGTCCTCCGAGGAGGCCTCCCAATCCCTGACGTCGGGTATCTCCGAACAGGCGGTCCAGCCACCTGAAACAAACCAGGAGAGTCAATCTATCGTTCGGGTGTGATCTTCAGTTCCGCGATGTCCTCTCATACGGCAGTTTAGCGCGGTAGTCACTTCATTCTGACCCAAACCAAGTTGTTTACGGCACGGAGCCCAATGTTTCACATCATTCAAGATTTAAATGTCGTAGCATGCATTTCAACCCACACGTCATTGTCCGAACAATGGAACCGCGCCATCTGAGAATGACTTCCAAATCGTGCATAAAACGTCGTGGTGACCTCGTGACCCCGTGATCCCGACCGGCAAACTTAATCCAAAATCCTAGAGGACTGCCGACTGCCCATGACCACGATCCACTGCACGCTTCTGTCGAAGAGCATACTTGGATTTTATCAGGGCACATCTACCCTCCATGAGGTCAATCATGATGTCATTTGCATTTTTGGACCATTACCACATCAGTGTACCGGAACGTACAAACGACGCAGTCGGACTTACCCAGTCTGTTTGGGAGGCTGGTGATCGTAATAGTTGTTATAGTTGTAGTTGCTGTAGGTATCGGGCGCTGACTGGGCAGACTGGGGAAAGAAGCCCTCGTCGGCAGCCACCATGGCTGACACAGCCAGCACAATGCAGACGATCAACTTCATGGCGAAATCTGAAACGGAACAATAACAGTTACAGCGATGCTAGTGCCAAACGCATGCCAACACCTCAATCCGCAAGCTTTCGTGAACACCTGGACAATCGCTGCTGAGACATGGACTGTTGACGGCACGAAATTCGGGTGGGATGTTCCATGGCTGCCTACACAATGTTACGCATCTGTTCGTTGCCATCGGCCCGCGCCCCACACGGCTGAGACTCAGAGGGTATTCCGGATAACACCGAACCAAACACGATGTCGTAAAAATGCCGCCCGCTTTCCGCTGCCCGAATAAATAGGAAATTGTGAAAACGCTGATTACGACATTGTGCGTAAGCAACATGTCAGTCCGCATCGTGGACAGATACAAAAACCGGCGACAACCGCATCTGCATTTTTGTGGATATCGCGGATGTTCTCAGTGATATGTATATATATATATATATATATATATATATATATATATATATGTATATTATATATGATATATCAAAGAAAGCACATCTATAGCGTGTATGATTCACTTGGAGAAGTTGTCAGGACTTTTTATTAGCTAAAAGTTGTAGCAAGTAACTAAAAGTTTTGTTGCCATCTTAAGTTGTCTCGACTTTTGTTGCCAAGTGACTAAGCTGGTAACTGTACTCAAAGTTGTTTAAGGTAAGTAAACGTATATCTGTGACGGGATCCTCCTTCGCACTGCTAGCACGGCGCTATCAACATAGTGTGCGTCATGACGTTGCCCCGACTTCCTGATGCGATAGGCTTGGATCAATAATTTCTGTGGCCCATCACCGAACTCAACAAATGATTGTGACTGGGATGTGGCTGCTATCTTCCTTGCTGTTAGCTGTTCATGTCACCGGTGCGCCAGCTCAGAAAGCTGCCGTACAGGAAGCCTCGGCACCAGACCAGCGATCAGCATGCCGGGCGGTATGCAAGTCCAGGACACACACACCGACCGGCGCCAGCTCGGCGCCCCTGGCCCGGTCACGCCCCGCCAGCCGGCAGTCCCAGCGGCGCACGGAGTCACTCGCACCACTGTCGACCGGTGCGGCCTGGCGGACCTGGGTCACCGGCCGGCAGGTCACCAGTCGCAGAGACGGCCTGCAGCCGGTGACGCCAGTCGACTCCACCGCCAGTGATGAGCACACCGGGACCGCACTGTCGCCGTCGAGCCTATGGAGCGCGCCACGCTTCCGAAATAGTATCAGACACTGCACTAGCGCCGCCATCGGACGCCACTCCACGTCCTCAGCAGCGTGTCTACCTGTTCGGAGTGAGATGCCGGCGGCTAATGTGAGTGAAAGGACTGCGCATGTCCGCCTTTATATCTTTCACTTTTTCAGCTGACACGGTTCTCCGTCTGATGGCGGGTCTCCGGCTTCCGATACACAGATGGCTGGGAATATTAACGCTCCCCTGAATCCGACACTTTTTGTAACGCAAACGAGCGCAGAGGGGGGATCGGGACGACACCATGCCATTTCCAAAGGAGTAGCGATAGAGCAACGCGACAAAATAATGGATAACCTTTGACAAGATTTTCCTGGTAGGTCAATATTTGACTGCACAGGGCCTAATTAAAAGCCAGTGTTCAGGAAAATCGGACAAGTTCAGATTGATATGGCACTATTCAAATTCGTACGACGTAGCAGAAAAAAATTTAGCCAGGCATGTTTTTTGGAGGGATGCATCTGTACGTGGTTCCACGTAATGTCAGGACATGTTTATGATGGGGGATTCCGTAAATGTAACGGCGTGGTTCCCAGCGTCCGTGATCGGCGCATGTGTCGAATTTTGGCTCCCGCCCTCTCGGCCAGGAGATTGCCGTGCAGTTTGTTTTAGCAAAAAGTTATCCTCGGAAGCCAGAGATTCTGGCGGCACATTTTGGAGCCAAAGCACAATGATGGATGTTCCAGAGGCTACCGAAAGTTTTGGTGCGACTACACGACTTGCCAGACAGATAAATAGATGAAAAGATATATTTTTTAAAACCCTGTAGGTAAACCCACACCTGTCCCATCTCACATACGTATTCTCGCTCCCTCTCTTCGGCCGTCCTTTATTCCACATCTGGCAGGGGAAGTTGTTCAAGGGAATGTTCCACATTTGAAGATGGTGAGGCATGCGCCAGATATGATGATATAGGCTCACTTTCAAGAATTGGTTTGCTTTTATAGGGGATGTACCGCACTTGCATGGGGTTTTGAAGTGAAATAGCCATCTTGAAAATGATTTAGCGCAGTTGAAAGCCACGCCCTTTTTAAGACCTAAACTCCTCTATTCCCGAGCCACGCTCCCGCGAAGATGTGCAGACGATTTCGGGGAGACTATTTCAAGGTCACCCACGCATCCATGACGTTATAACAACGTCATGTAAATGCTGTCATTTCATTGGTCAGGCGATGATCAAGGCCAGAAAAAAATGATTGGCGAGTCGTTTGTATTTGGCGTTCGTTAGCATCATTCCAAATAAAACGGCCGTAAAATAGCCCTTAATCAATGTTATGCACACAACAATGACGCAGTCAAATGCTGAGGTTTTTTGAAGCATATGTACTAAACAGCGGAATCGTATTGTCACGAGAAGTTTTTCTGTTTGAAAATATACCAGATACATGTGAGCTTATTTCATCATATCTGACGCTTGCTTTAATGTATTCAAATGTGGAGCATTCCCTTTCAGGCACACTTAGAACACACGGAACCAGAATGTGTGACATAGACAAAATATTCCAATTGTCTGCAGGGTCTGCATTTCAACTTGGCTCGCCTGGAACCCGCGTCGGGGCGAACGTGCTTAGCCTGGGGCTGTGTTGGGCTGGGAGGGTGGCTTCTAATGGCGTTTACAGTGTAATGCGGCTTCAGTGGGCCCAAGAGTACGACCCGCACCACATGCCACTTGTTAGAACGTCGGCTGGAGAGGAAGGGAATCCGCTTCCATTCACCTGGTTATTCTAACTCTATTGGCATGTTGTAAGTGTGTGTTAGATTCATACAGGGGTTAGTTTGGCCCCATAATGCCCCGTTTGGCAAACTAGCGACTACCGGGCGGGCGCACAGGAGCTCCCACTCCTATAGGTAGGGGTGAAGAGGTGCCTTTTCCCTCACCGACGGAAGTTGGAACTGTCCAGATTATCACCTGCAGCCAAATCTTTCAGAAGCTGTTGCGATGTATCTCTAAATGTGATAAACTACAAAGAACAAAGACAAATTGCATGCAGCACGGTATAATCATCCGACATTTTTATTTCAAGAGTTCAATTGCATTAGAGTGTCATTTGCTGGCCATTGGTCACTGAATGATGGTTGAGACTAAACTAATGGAGTTATCAGCTACAGGCATAATTAAAATAACCAGCTTATAGGTGTGTAAATTCCGTCTGACTTAAGGGTGTGCGGCCGGCATTGTGCCTCCTAATCAGGGATTCATCAGTTTTTCAGCTATCTTAATTTTTGTGATTGCGCCCCCAAGAAACTTATTTGTGAGGAGCTGCATCCCTGCTCCCAATTGTGAACAGAAAGTGCGTCAAATCTGGGGAGAAAAATGTTCCAAGTGCATTTCGGAGGCAGGCTTAGAATGTTTTCTTCCTGCACCCCTCCCCCCCTCCCCCTCCCTCCATACCCCTCATCCCCTTCCCTTCCTCATCCCTACGAAGTTTGCAAAAATGCATCCCTGTAACCCTATATGTACCAATAACATGGTCCTACAAGCACCAGGAGTAAAATCAATTTTGGTTTTGTGACGTCATCGTACAATCAGCTGGAAGCGTTGGCGACCTTCACGATGTTCGCATGATCATTGCCGGTTCAGAACTCTCACTGCCTAACATGATCCCAATTATCTAGAGCAAAAGTCATGCATTATTTGTATCAATAAATGCAAACGACATTTTTGTAGGCATCATGTAGGATGTTTCTGCCACCTGCTTTGCTGATTAAAGCTACTATGATTGGCAGCATTTTATGACTTACCTTGCTTATACAGCGAAATGTCAACGTTTCGGCATGTGCTCTACACATGCTCACGTTGCAGCGTTAGCGAGTATAGACCGATACTACGCTTTTAGTTTTTTTCTAGCTGGGATGGTCTGCTGTTATATGATCTGGTCTGTTAAAATTTGTTTCCTTTTCGCAAGTTTGTCACCAATGGGTTTGCAAAAATGTTAGGTTTTGTCACCGATCATATCCGGTAAATCAGAAGTTTTAACCCCTTCCTATAAAATAAAGTGTTTTTATCGAAGATACCCAGCGTTTTAAAGCGAATTACGGGCTGTATCATAGATATGATGGTAGCGGAGGTACAGCCGGAATTCTCCGCATCAGAAGATTTCCCACCACCTGTGTTTTTTTTTCAGTTGGGCGATTTGATCCCACCCAAACCTTTTAATAGAAAAATATGTGTTCGCCCACGCTAATCTGCGCTTGTGATGTGGGCCCCAACGCCACTATCCAAATATAAACTTTCAGACTAGCGGCATGACTTTGTGGCAGGACCTGGCCGTGCTGCGACGCTCAGCATGGTTCGTCTCGCATCGGCGTCGCCTGACTGTTCGCGCCACAGACGCCACCGATCGTAGACCAACTCAGTCGGGGGTAACTAGTGAGCGCAGGTTAACGGAACGATTGCGGCGAGGTCTTAGTATTGTGGATGAACAAAATTGTTCGGACTATCGTCATCATGTCGGGTGTTAATATGCCTACTAACACATCCCAAAACACTCGAAGCAACGATGATAGTTCGGAGAACTATTCCCTCCGTGAAAAAGTGAGCGTTTTAAGAGACTCTACAGCGGCCATGGAACACGAAACCAATAGGAATATTGTTACACGACTGATCCCAAAATTAATGCCCGTCGCAGCATCTTCCCCCCCCCCCCCCCCGCCAATATGATTTGCTAGTGACGTATTTGTGTGTTTGCAAAATGTGACATGTAATAATTCCGTCACTGGAAACTTCCGATTTATACTCTTCTTGCAAATCAATCAAATCAAGCAAGCAAGCAATCAATCATATCAAGCAAATCAGGACCTTGTGTTTGTCTCGTCTGGACAATAACGCACCCAACCTCATTCGTCTACCATCGCTCCTAGATCCGCCACTGCAAGTTCGAATGCATCACATATTCCCTAAATGGATCTTCATTGGCGCGATAAACCGTGTTACGACCTCTGTCACTGTGTTTATATTATGGCCATTCATGTGGCTTGGTGGTTTTTAGATGGCATTAGACCAGGATCTTGCTAATTATTTCGACGGGCTTTAAATGTGCTAAACGGCAGACAGATGAACTTAAAGGCCTAAATGAACCGACCTGTTTGGTGCTGAAGACTTGTGGAATGGGGGATGGGAGAAAATCAGAAGAATAAAGCTGGAGGCACGAATTTCCAGCGTTCGCTATCATCAAGCGTGAAGAGAGGGAAGACAAAAGAAGGAAAAGAAAGCGACAGAACTATTATACGTGTGCCACTGCCGACGCTGGAATCTAATCTCTTTTTAGCAAAAAACCAGTGCTGTTGGAACATTTGAAAAAATGTGTGATGTTTTCAAGCCTTATTTTATTAAGTGTGTTATACACAATGCCGTCGGTGTGTACGGTAGACGTATGCTAACTTGTAAGTGATGTAAAAGGAATTAACTTTTTCTCTTTTCGTTATTCTAGTGTAAGGTCGCATTGGGCCGCTAGATGCAGCAAGCACTGAGTGCCTTGCCTGCTGTCTTGCGCTATGTGTGTGTGTGTGTGTGCGTGTGTGTGTGTGTGTGTGTATGTGTGTGTATGTGTGTGTGTGTGTGTGTGTATGTGTGTGTGTGAGTGTGTGAGTGTGTGTGTGTGTGTGTGTGTGTGTGTGTGTGTCACACATCATTTGTGTGTTTATCACACATTTATGCCAGCCACCATTTTTAATCAGACATGCATATACAGGCATCTATATTCATTTACTGATTTACTTATTTATTTATATATATTCGTGATTGACAGTGAGAAGTCATCCAGATGTATGTTTCGGTGAAGATGACAGCATATCGTGCAATTTTCTGCTTTTGGTGAGATTGTCCAGCCTCCGGAATATCTGGCCGAGTTACGACAGGAGAGACATAACGAGAGAGCTTCGGCACTCACAGATCGTAAGTGCAAAAGTGTGCATCTATGTAATGTTATGCTCAGGAAATCTGTGGTTGATAGTAATATTCCTTCTTTCATGTGTGTGTTGTATTTATGTGTAAGTATCTATGCTCGCTGTATGTCTTAACCTTCACCCTGATTCGCCGTTTTGCGTAGCTCGGGCTGATAGAGGGGGGGG